AACTAGTATGTATATAAATTCTTCAAGTTGCCCAAGTTGGACCGAAGACAGACACCGGAGTTTTACAGGAAAACGTATATCATTTTTTCGACCTCCTAGAAAAGCTTGTGGACGAGCACAAATCTTCGAAATGATCCACTGTATGAAATGCCGCACTTTGGTTTATACAAAATGTGCTTGTGTTACTGCTAAAACTAAAATTTACTATTGTGTCAATTGCCGTTAAAAAAGCATGGTCCAATTTAGGAAACCGCGCGGTCCAATTTAGGAAACCGGTTTCTTAATTTGGACCAAAAACACAATTTTTTTAAATTGAAATTTGAGGGGTATAAATATAATTTTTACTTAAACCAAAAATATCATTTTGTTGGTAAGCCTTGTGAGTTACTTTTCCGCTACTTAATTTTTATTGACAGTTTATATGTGGCTCTATAAATCAAAAAATATAAAAATGGTCCAAATATGGCTACTTTCCCCTACGTGTATTTCATAGTTCCTACAATATGCATAATTAAGGTGCTTGCAACTTATTGGATACGCCAAACCCAAAAATTTATTTTGTATGTTCTTATTTTTAGTATGTTCTCTCATTTCTTCAGCCATATGAAATGTTTTTTTTACTTCAACGGCGTGGTCTTTAAGCATACTAATAATTTTTGTCTCTGTTCCAATATCGTTGATTTTAGTACGTATTTGATACCTTGTTTCGTTTTCATTTAATGTAGTAATCTGGCGATTTTTTTTTCCGAACTGGTCGTCAGTTGTTTAATATGATTTAAAATAAAATTTTGGTTTGTGCTTTATTTTGTAATAACCAGCCCATCACTTTTCCTTGATATCTTAAGGAAAATACCATTTTTGAAATGTTCTATTTTTATGTTTTCTTATTTTTTACTTTTTCTGATGGTTTTCTTCTGATATTATCTTGTCATTGTCGCCTTGTTAATTGTTTCCATCCGTTTTCCTACTTTAATCTTATTTTTTTGTGTATCACCCAGTACATATGTGTTTTTCCTTTTCATTTAATAGAACATATGTCTTAGTGTTTGGGTGTTTTAATTTTGAAACATAGGTTTTTGTAACACCCAGTATAATAATTTCCCGTGGTGAATTTGCCAAAAGGTGACAGATGTATGTTATCCCATTTATACTTAGGATTTTCCTTTAAAATATTGTAGTTTTCTTTTTGTATCACCCTGTATTATAGTTTCCCGTAGTAGGTTTGTCAAAAGTGTGAAAAATATATGTTATCCCACTTTAACTCAGGATTTTCCTTGAAAATATTGTCGTTTTCTTTTGTATCATCCTGTATATTAATTTCCTTTGATATTTGACTGTGGTTTTAGAGATACACAGGAATCCAGGTAATCCGGACCCGCCTTAATCCGGCACACCTTGTAATCCGACATGGTCATATGCCATATGTTTGTACTTTAAGATTTGTAATTTGTCGGATTACAGGTATTTTTTTGTAAAAAATTCCGGACTGTAAGGGGTTTTAGGTACTTTTCTATAATCCGACAAATTCACTCATTCGACATTGCCCTGCAAAGTGATTGTCGGATAACCGGGATTTCACTGTATATTTCCCTACTTGAACTTTGGATTTTCTCTTAAAATTTTACTATATTGTTTTTGGAACACCCGGTATAATAGTTTTCCATGATTGCGGCGAAAATTATGCAAAATTTATTAGTATTATATGTATATTTTATATGTATATGTTTTTATTTGAACTTTACTTTGCTTATACTCACCCTCTCGTACTACCATTGTATTTCAATGTTTTTATTTGTTATTTTTTACCCTTGATACTCATCTGCATGTACGGGCATGCGCCTCCGGCGCTCTTGTCGATCGACCTGTATTTGTTTCCCAGGGTAACGGTGAAAACGAGCGATATTAGAGTGTTTAGATGTTTTCCTTTCTCTGCACTTAAAATTTTTCTTTTGTAACACTCTGTATATTTGTTTCCATTTTCCATCACCTAGAAAATGGGCAATTTGCTAATTTCTTTATCCCGGTAGAACATTTTGACGTACTTGCTTATATGTGCGCGACGATGCAGGTCGTAAGTTCTGTGTCAATATGGCGGCATGTATTTTGTTGACTTGTAAAATCTAAACTTGTATTCTATTGTTAATAAAGAAATAGTAAGATATATTGACTTCTTTGATTTGTGTTTACCCCTTCTATCATTTCAGGAACAGTTCCCTCTCTCAGGGGATGATCCCCTCTATAGAAATTGCAAAAGTAACCTGTATGATTTGTGTACTCCTTCTTTCATTTCAGATACAGGTCAAAGCTTGTAAGTATATTTTTATATTGTCACCTCTCTTGGGACGACTTAAAACTTAGAAATATTTGAACAAGACCTTATTAGGATTGTCCTTATAAGGAGTTCTCCCACTCGGGGATGATCCCCCACCATAAAAATTGTTGATATGCCTGATAATTCCGGGGATGAAGCGTAGAGACATCGTAGCTGTAGGATGGGCCGGGAGCAATGGACGCATCGAAGCAGTAGACTGTCAGAACGACACGCCGCCAAAAAAATTAAAAAGCTGATCCACTCCTGTTCTCTTTCTTCTATATCCTCCTTTTCTCTGTTCTCTTCCTTCTGTCTTCTCTATTCTTCTCTGCTATTACTGCTCCTTCTACTTCTTCTAATTCTCTGTTCTCCGTTTCTCTTTCTTACTTCTCTTATTTTGCCTTCACTTGTATTGCAATTTTTCTTATATTTCGTTGCAGTTATATATGCAACCCAAATTACACCTGTTATTTCTATATTTGAGAAAAATGCCTTCTACACCTGAGGTTCGATCCGTATCTACTAGCATGCCAGCAGGTGCACGTGGGTACTCGACCACCGAGCGATTTTATCATTCTTATTTGATTCTTCTATTTATGTTTCTACTTTATTCAACTTTTTAAAAACAACAACACAACATAAACAACTATATACTGTACACGCTTGACGCACTTAAGATTTATATGGAATATGATTTAAGTCATCAATCCTGCAAACAGTAAAGGGGAAATTAGAAATAAATATGAAGAAGTATATAATATTACATTATGTTTTATTAGCAACATTAAAAACTACATACATTTATTTAAAATCAAAAATCATAGACAGCTCTTAAATCTCCTGAAAGTAAAACTTGCATTGACTACTTGGCACAAGTGCTCCTAAACTTCTTCAACAGGCATCAACGTTGTTTATTTATACAAATTAAAACACACACAAGGTGCAAGCAAACATTAAAACACAAACAACTACAACACAATACGAAATAAAAACGTACAAAACATTTACATATAAAAACGAATTCTACGTGGACAGTACAACAAACATGTATGTACACATTAATGCATATGACAATACGGCAAAGTCATATACACAATAAAAAGAGTTCTCAAGTTTTACATATACAATTACATAACACGAAGAGCAATCAAGGAAATGTTAGAGGATGACACGCACAAACACCAATCTTCGCGAGTTAAAGCTAAACAACGACAGTGTGGCAACTGCCAAATACCATATCGCCTTACTACCAACAAATAAAACGCACGGCAATTAGTCCGACAAGCAATAATACAATACAGTAAAAGTCGTAAGCGATTAAATGTGCAACACAATGTAAACTCTTGATAACCTTTTTTATAATGACGCAGAAATATGTACAAGAAGGTTGGTTTTGAGGTAAATGACTGGATGAGTGAAATCCGTCTATAAATCAACAAATCTTAGTAAGTATCGTTAAAAAGAGTTTACACGGCATGTTATTCCACAAGCATTCATCAAATTAATTGTCAAAGGTCCCCAAATATAAACAAATAAATATAAACATTTAAGTATATATTTAGGGGCCTATGACAACGAACGGCATATAATTAATCGAAATAAAATCTCAAAACTGCTGCAAGACGATGTAGGTTCATGCTACCTGCATCTCGCGAGCATGAAGTGTAAACAAGTTGATAACACGCGCCCATCTTGAAACACGCACAACGACCCCAAATAAAATTAACGATTTGGTATATTCCACACCGGATTACCTATTATTAAAACTCTAAACACAATAAAAATAACTAAATGTAGTCGATGGGCGATCGAAATGAACGCGATTTGCCGAATCATAAACTCAAAATAAAACGATGACAGCCGCGAGGAACACGTCCGAGCCAACGAACAACCGGCACAAAACTGCGTTGAGGTCACTGCGCAACACAATCCGAGGCGGCACGCGAGAACACGCGATAAGTCAGTAATTGCTACAAAGAAGGTCGCATGCAGAATAGCCAACTCGGAGAATTCAATTAGTTCGCAAAAGAGGGGCAAATTTTAGCGGCCATTTTAATGCAGTAACAACCGAATTTTGCGGGGGTTCAGGGGTGCATCTTAAAACTGCACTCTTGCGATATAATAAAATCGAGAAATAACTAAAATATGACAAAGGGTTCTCGAGATATGGCCAGCTGTCCACTGCGTGTTTTGAAAATTGCAAGAAAAGGGCAAACTTTAGTGGCCATTTTGAGGCAGTTACGACCGAATTTCGTATGGGTTCAGGAGTACATCTTAAAAATGCACCCTGACCCTATAATAAAATCGAAAAATAACTAAATTATGACACAGGGTTCCCGAGATATGGCCAGTGTTTCACCGCGTGCTTTGAAAATTGAAAGGAAAGGGCAAACATTAGCGGCCATTTTGAGGCAGGTACGACCTAATTTCGCGGTGGTTCAGGGGTGCATCTTAAAAATTCTTTCTTACCCTATAATAAAATCGAGAAATAACTAAAATACGACAAAGGGTTCCCGAGATATGGACTCCGCGTGTTTTAAAAATTGCAAGAAAAGGGCAATCTTTGCGGCCATTTTGAGGCAGTTACGACCGAATTTCGCGGGGTTTCAGGGATGCATCTTAAAAATGCACTCAGACCCTATAATAAAATCGAGAAATAGCTAAATTATGACACAGATTTCCCGAGATATGGCCAGTGTTCCACCGCGTGTTTTGAAAATTGAAAGGAAAGGGCAAACATTAGCGGCCATTTTGAAGCAGGTACGACCTAATTTCGCGGTGGTTCAAGGGTGCATCTTAAAAATGCACTCTTATCCCATGATAAAATGGACAAATAGCTAAAATATGATAAAGGGTTCCCGAGATATGGCCAGTTTTCCTCCGCGTGTTTTGAAAATCGCAAGAAAGGCGCAAACTTTAGCGTCCATTTTGAGACAGTTACGACAAAATTTTTCGAGGGTTCAGAGGTGCATTTTGAAAATGCGCTCTTACCCTATAATAAAATCGAAAAATAACTAAAATATGACAAAGGGTTCCCGGGATATGGCCAGTTTTCCATCGCGTGTTTTGAAAATTGCAAGAAGAGGGCAAACTTTCGCAGCCATGTTGTGGCAGTTGCGACCGAATTTCGCGGGGGTTTAGGGGCGCATCTTAAAAATGCTCTCTTACTCTATAATAAAATCGAGAAGTAACTTTAATATGACGAAGGATTCCCGAGATATAGCCAGTTTTCCACCGCGTGTTTTGAAAATTGCAAGAAAATGGCAAACTTTAGCGTCCATTTTGAGGCAGTTACGACAGAATTTTGCGGGGGGTTCAAGGGTGCATCTTAAAATGCACTCTTACTCTATAATAAAATCGCGAAATAACTAAAATTTGACGTAGGGTTCCCGAGATATAGCCTGTTTTCCACCGCGTGTTTTGAAAATTGCAAGAAAAGGGCAAATTTTGTCGTTTCCTTCATTTTCTATATTACCCGCAATTAAAATATTGCAAGACGCAGGTCATAAAACATTTGACCGAATAATACAACTTAATAAAAACTTACCAATGCAGTGGTTATTAGCTAAGATAGGGCACAGCAAGTACTGTAATTAAAAGAAAACATAAGTTGAAATAAAAACATTGCATACAATACAATATTATGTTCATACATCGGAGAAAACAAACATTCTGTGCTGAGTAGCGCAAGTCAGATATCAGTTACTAACTCAAGTACGAGGGGACTTCCAAATGACGGGAAACACCATGGCAACAATATGCATTTGGGATGTAAACATCAAACGCAAATATACAAAAATTATGGATATTAAACGCACAATTAACCATTAACAAAACACTGCAGATGAATGTTACAACTAAATAGTCAATTGATCACCGACTACAATGCAAATTTAGAAAATAATAGCCCGATAAAACGATAAGAGTCGCGCGAAATACGTCTGGATACGCCAGCGACCTGCACGAAACTAGCTGCAATCCATCGATAGCGCAAGCAACGATGCGACAACTTTAGCGGCCATTTTGAGGCAGATACGACCGAATTTAGCGGTGGTTCAGAGGTGCACCTTAAAAAATCTGTCTTACGCTATAATAATATCAAGAAAGAGCTACAATATGACAAAGGGTTCCCGGGATATGGCCAGTTTTCCATCGCGTATTTGGAAAATTGCAAGAAGAGGGCAAACTTTCGCGGCCATGTTGAGGCAGTTGAGACCGAATTTCGCGGGGGTTCAAGGGTGCATCATAAAAATGCACTCTTACCCTATAATAAAATCGAGAAATAACTAAAATATGACAAAGGGTTCCCGAGATATGGCCACTTTTCCACCGCGTGTTTTGAAAATTGCAAGAAAAGGGCAAACTTTAGCGTCAATTTTGAGGCAGTTATGACAGAATTTCTCGGGGGTTCAAGGGTGCATCTTAAAAATGCACTCTTACTCTATAATAAAATCGCGAAATAACTAAAATATGACGAAGGCTTCCCGAGATATAGCCTGTTTTCCACCGCGTGTTTTGAAAATTGCAAGAAAAGGGCAAACTTTAGCGGCCATTTTGAGGCAGTTACGACCGAATTTCGCGGGGGTTCAAGGGTGCATCTTACAAATGCGCTCTTACCCTATAATCAAATCGGGAAGTAGCTAAAATATGACAAAGGGTTCCCGAGATATGGCCACTTTTCCTCCGCGTGTTTTGAAAATCGCAAGAAAGGCGCAAACTTTAGCGTCCATTTTGAGACAGTTACGACAAAATTTTGCGAGGGTTCAGAGGTGCATTTTGAAAATGCGCTCTTACCCTATAATAAAATCGAAAAATAACTAAAATATGACATAGGGTTCCCGGGATATGGCCAGTTTTCCATCGCGTGTTTTGAAAATTGCAAGAAGAGGGCAAACTTTCGCAGCCATGTTGTGGCAGTTGCGACCGAATTTCGCGGGGGTTTAGGGGCGCATCTTAAAAATGCTCTCTTACTCTATAATAAAATCGAGAAGTAACTTTAATATGACGAAGGATTCCCGAGATATAGCCAGTTTTCCACCGCGTGTTTTGAAAATTGCAAGAAAATGGCAAACTTTAGCGTCCATTTTGAGGCAGTTACGACAGAATTTTGCGGGGGGTTCAAGGGTGCATCTTAAAATGCGCTCTTACTCTATAATAAAATCGCGAAATAACTAAAATTTGACGTAGGGTTCCCGAGATATAGCCTGTTTTCCACCGCGTGTTTTGAAAATTGCAAGAAAAGGGCAAATTTTGTCGTTTCCTTCATTTTCTATATTACCCGCAATTAAAATATTGCAAGACGCAGGTCATAAAACATTTGACCGAATAATACAACTTAATAAAACTTACCAATGCAGTGGTTATTAGCTTAGATAGGGCACAGCAAGTACTGTAATTAAAAGAAAACATAAGTTGAAATAAAAACATTGCATACAATACAATATTATGTTCATACATCGGAGAAAACAAACATTCTGTGCTGAGTAGCGCAAGTCAGATATCAGTTACTAACTCAAGTACGAGGGGACTTCCAAATGACGGGAAACACCATGGCAACAATATGCATTTGGGATGTAAACATCAAACGCAAATATACAAAAATTATGGATATTAAACGCACAATTAACCATTAACAAAACACTGCAGATGAATGTTACAACTAAATAGTCAATTGATCACCGACTACAATGCAAATTTAGAAAATAATAGCCCGATAAAACGATAAGAGTCGCGCGAAATACGTCTGGATACGCCAGCGACCTGCACGAAACTAGCTGCAATCCATCGATAGCGCAAGCAACGATGCGACAACTTTAGCGGCCATTTTGAGGCAGATACGACCGAATTTAGCGGTGGTTCAGAGGTGCACCTTAAAAAATCTGTCTTACGCTATAATAATATCAAGAAAGAGCTACAATATGACAAAGGGTTCCCGGGATATGGCCAGTTTTCCATCGCGTATTTGGAAAATTGCAAGAAGAGGGCAAACTTTCGCGGCCATGTTGAGGCAGTTGAGACCGAATTTCGCGGGGGTTCAAGGGTGCATCATAAAAATGCACTCTTACCCTATAATAAAATCGAGAAATAACTAAAATATGACAAAGGGTTCCCGAGATATGGCCACTTTTCCACCGCGTGTTTTGAAAATTGCAAGAAAAGGGCAAACTTTAGCGTCAATTTTGAGGCAGTTATGACAGAATTTCTCGGGGGTTCAAGGGTGCATCTTAAAAATGCACTCTTACTCTATAATAAAATCGCGAAATAACTAAAATATGACGAAGGCTTCCCGAGATATAGCCTGTTTTCCACCGCGTGTTTTGAAAATTGCAAGAAAAGGGCAAACTTTAGCGGCCATTTTGAGGCAGTTACGACCGAATTTCGCGGGGGTTCAAGGGTGCATCTTACAAATGCGCTCTTACCCTATAATCAAATCGGGAAGTAGCTAAAATATGACAAAGGGTTCCCGAGATATGGCCACTTTTCCTCCGCGTGTTTTGAAAATCGCAAGAAAGGCGCAAACTTTAGCGTCCATTTTGAGACAGTTACGACAAAATTTTGCGAGGGTTCAGAGGTGCATTTTGAAAATGCGCTCTTACCCTATAATAAAATCGAAAAATAACTAAAATATGACATAGGGTTCCCGGGATATGGCCAGTTTTCCATCGCGTGTTATGAAAATTGCAAGAAAAGGCCAAACTTTAGCGGCCATTTTGAGGCAGTTACGACCGAATTTCGCGGGGGTTCTAGGGTGCATCTTACAAATGCACTCTTACCCCATAATAAAATCGGGAAATAGCTAAAATATGACAAAGGGTTCCCGAGATATGGCCAGTTTCCCACCGCGTGTTTTGAAAATTGCAAGAAAAGAGCAAACTTTAGCGGCATTTTTGACGTAGTTACGGCCTAATTTCGCGGGGGTTCAGAGGTGCATTTTGAAAATGCACTCTTACCCTATAATAAAATCGAAAAATAACTAAAATATGACAAAGAGTTCCTGAGATATGGCGAGTTTTCCACCGCGTGTTTTGAAAATGGCAAGAAAAGGGCAAAGTTTAGCGTCCATTTTGAGGTAGTTACGACAGAATTTTGCGGTGGTTCAGGGGTGCATCTTAAAAAATCTGTCTTACGCTATAATAATATCAAGAAATAACTAAAATATGACAAAGGGTTCCCGAGATATGGCCAGTTTCCCACCGCGTGTTTGGAAAATTGCAAGAAAATGGCAAATTTTGTCGTTTTCTTCATTTTCTATATTACCCGCAATTAAAATATTGCAACATGCAGGTCATAAAACATTTGACCGAATAATATAACTTAATAAAAACTTACCAATGCAATGGTTATTAGATTAGATTGGGCACAATACAATAGGGCGAAATACGTCTGGATACGCCAGCAACCTGCACGAAACTAGCTGCAATCCAGCGATAGCGCAAGCAACGCAAGTGTGCGTGAATTGCAAGAGGCATGTTATCTGCGATCACAATTAAACTATGGACGTGACAACGTGCGGCGTGAGGGATGACAACGACGACACACGAGCATTCGATGACAAAGTGTAAATTGTGTTCAAAACAAACACAATTCTTGTATCGAATGCCAACGTATGCGGATAAGTATAGTAATAAAGAATACAATTCTATTTTATGATTTTTAGTTCAGGCAAGTGCCATCTCTGAATGCTACAGATAGTAGTCCCGCAATTAAAATTATTAAAACTGATCAAAAATTAAAATTTGAGTTGTGTAATTCTAATTTATCATGGTGAAAGATTTTCGTGGGGTAAAAGGGCAAAAACGTGACCCAATTCATATTCGCAATTGGAATATCTCGTAAACGGATTGAAAAATATTAATCTACGAGAAATTCTCTATAAGACAAAGTATTAAAATATTGCAAGATGTGCTTCAGCATCAAGGCAAGGCAAGGCAAGACTACCTACGCGATTTGCAATAGAGACGATACCTGCGATATAAACTAAAGTAGAATACGCTGCAGGCAGCAAGTTGATGCGGCGTGAGAAGACGGCGCGCAGGACACATGCGATATAAAGTTGTTTATATTGAAAAGTTATATGAACAGAACCCGATGACCAAACAAGAATCATTAGTTAAGACGCAATCATGATATTTATTTCAAGCGCAGTAATTATTTATTTCAAACGTAATTATCAATTTCTAGAATTCATTGTCTCAAAGTCACCTAATTGCGCATTTCCTGTTTCGTTGCGCATCTTCTCTTCATATTTATTTAAAACGCATATTAGAGCCATATAAATAGAGCGCAGACCTAGACCTAAGCGATTATTGTATCATCCAAGTTCGTTGAATAAACAAGTGAAAGTTAACAAGTTCTTCTGAATCGATCATCAAGAACCCACTTAACAAATCCTAAGAAAACCAACAAAAGTGAATCAAAGTCTAAACCCAATTCTAATCCGCGATCGCGATTCGAACCAATAAATAAATAAATTATATTTAATAACTCGTGAGTCGATAACGAAATCGTTAATATAAAACCGCTCGACACAAACGGGGAATATAATTGGCGCAGTCGGTAGGATCTGAGAAGTTTTTCATCGAGAAAATCTTGCTGTTCTAACAGTTAACTCAGATCGTAAATCGCGAAAGCAGAACTTTCAAGTGGAAAAAGACTATTGAACTTTTGTGTGATCATCGTACGAGAATCATCGTCGAGATCAAATCCAAAGAGCACGAAGAAACTGGACCGCAATCCGAGTTGGTCATTCCAAACATTGAATAAACCACATCCAATCGAGGACGGGAAAATTTGCGTTCACCAGTTCATCTGCTCAAGTTTATGTCTCCGGTACGCCATCTAAGAGGGTGAGTGATTTCCGAGAGCATAAAAATTAATGTCTGACTTGGAATTATCAAACCTTTTCCAATCCTTAGACATTTCACGAACATTGGAAAACTTAATCCAAATTGATAATATAGATTCAGGTTTAGATTCGGGAAATCAAGTATCAGAAAATTCAAATTGTTTCAAGATGCCGAACGAATTCAAACCAGAATACCTGAAATGTGTGCCAGAGTTTAATGGCGACACAAATGATTTAGTCGAGTTTCTTAGTTGCGCCGAAAGCATCGTTAACACGTTCGTTGACGCTAACGATCCGGGCAACTTCATTAATATTTTCATATTAAAATCCATTTTAAACAAACTCACCGGAAATGCACGAATCGCCGTGAACATTTCGGGAGTTCAAACCTTTAATGAGTTAAAAGAAACATTAATTCGTAACTTTAGTGACCAGAGAGACGAAGTATGTCTCATACGCGATATGGTCTTGCTAAAGCAGACGAACGAAACCGCGTTGCAATATTACGATAAAGTAATAAGTATTCAAAATCTATTATCGTCGTATCTGAACGCGCATGAATCAAACGACATTGCTATAAGAGTAAAAAGAGAGCTATACAATAAACTAGCTTTAAAAACCTTCATGGCCGGTTTGAAAGAGCCATTGGGGAGCTCAATTAGAGCAATGAGACCCGATAGTATGCAAATAGCATTACAGTACATTAATGAAGAGCGCAATGTACGCTATTATCAAAAAGATACAATAAAAACAAATACAAATGCTAATTTCCAAAAAGCAAATCCGCCACCCGGCAATTTCAACAGATTTAACACTAATGAAAACTATAAACGACCTTTTCAGCCTCAGAATAAAGTTGTAAATACGAGACCTTTTAATGAGCAAGCAAAACCGAGTTTCTCAAAAGACACAAACGTTTTTAAACCAAATCCGAATTATAAACCAAATCCGGAAACCCCCATGAGTACCAGCACACGTCAATCGGTACCGTACGCCAATTTCTCAAAACCAAAACAAGGGTTTTACAGAACGCAACAATACCACAACATTGAATCAGAAAATTTAGACTCGTCGCTTGAGTCTATGTTTCGCGAGGAACCCTTACCTGACGAAGGTAACCCCGAGCAAAATTCATACGATGAAATCAATTTCGAGCAAAATACCGTAAATTTTCAAGTACTAGCCTCGGAGACCCAAGAGTAATAGAAATAAACAATTGCGACGATACGAGTAGACTACCGTACGTAATCTTCCCGGAGTATGATAATTTAAAATTGCTAGTAGACACAGGTTCAACAACTTCTTTTATTGATCCTGATATTGCAGAACAAATCTTTCCAAAAACGATAATTTTTGACCCGTTTATCATTTCAAATGCTTTCTCCTCATCAGCACATCAGTACAGTGGCCAAATGCCCGTACCAAAAGTTTTTAAACGACCAAATGAATTCATGAAATTCAATTTGTTCAAATTTCATAACATTTTTAAAGGACTAATTGGCATTGATAATTTAGAGTTCCTCAATGCAACAATTGATGTAAAGAACAAAAAGTTAATAACGCCAAATGCCGAAATTCAAATTCATTATCAGAAAATCAGTAAAAAATTAAATAGCTACGAAGTTCAACCCAGAACAGAACAAATTATTAGAGTCAAAACAAGTATTAAAGAGGGTGATGTAATTATTCCAAGCGTAAAAAGTAACAATTGCGAAATTCCAGAATGTCTCACAAAAAGCAGCAATTATAATGCATTAGTCACAATAATCAATAAGGACGACAAAGTCGCAGTGGTCGACTTTACACAACCATTAACTGCGGAATTGTATGAAGGAAAACTTTATACACCGGAGGAATTTCATAACTTAAACTGTTATTCAAAATAAGACAATATTCAAGACATACCAAAAATCCGAACAGAACATATGAACCCAGAAGAAAGGTATCATATTCAAAAATTAGTAAAAGAATATTCAGACATATTCCACAATGAGGATAAACCTCTAACATTTTCAAACAAAGTTAAACACGAAATAAAAACTCATGACAATATGCCGATTTATACCAAATCGTACAGATACCCATTTGTTCATAAGCAAGAGGTGCAAACACAAATTCAAAAAATGTTGAGTCAAAAAATCATTCAACCAAGTCACTCTCCATGGTCCTCTCCCATCTGGATAGTTCCTAAAAAATTGGACGCGAGCGGAAAACAAAAGTGGCGCGTTGTAGTCGATTATCGGAAGCTAAATGAAAAAACTATTAATGACAAGTATCCCTTACCAAACATTACGGATATTCTAGATAAACTAGGGCGATGTCAATATTTTTCAACTTTAGATTTAGCCTCAGGTTTCCCTCAGATCGAAATGAATCCGCGCGATTCGGAAAAAACCGCGTTTAATGTAGAGAACGGACATTTCGAATACCTAAGAATGCCGTTTGGACTTAAAAATGCACCAGCAACATTTCAAAGAGTCATGGATAACATATTAAAAGGAATTCAGAATGAACTATGTTTAGTCTATATGGACGACATAATCATTTTCAGTGTTTCCCTACAGGAACATATTCAAAATTTGCGAAAAGTATTCGATCGTTTACGAAACGCGAATTTTAAAATTCAAATAGACAAATCGGAATTTTTTAGGAAAGAGGTAAACTTTTTAGGACATGTCATCACACCATCGGGAATACGACCTAACCCAGATAAAATCAAGGCAATAAAGCAATTTCCTGTACCAAAAACTCAGAAACAGTTAAAAGGCTTCCTAGGTTTGCTAGGATACTATAGAAAATTTATTAATAACTTTGCCACAATCACCAAGCCGCTAACTCAATGTCTCAAGAAAAATGCAAATATCACCTTAAGTGAGGAATATATGAACTGTATTGAAAAATGTAAAAATCTACTTACCAATGAACCAATTCTTCAGTACCCTGATTTTACTCAAACATTCAATCTCACTACAGACGCGAGTAATGTAGCGATAGGCGCCGTCCTTTCACAAGGAACTATAGGAAAAGATCTACCTGTAGCATACGCCTCCAGAACTCTAAATGAGTCAGAGAAAAATTACTCAACTATTGAAAAAGAACTTTTGGCTATCGTTTATGCAACAAAATATTTTAGACCATACTTATATGGAAGAAAATTCAAAATCATAACCGATCACAAACCATTACAATGGTTATTTTCATTAAAGGAGCCAAATTCAAAATTAGTTAGATGGAGATTAAGGCTCGAGGAATACGATTATGACATTATTTACAAAAAGGGCAAATTAAATGCAAACGCTGACGCGCTGTCGCGAATCGAAATTAATTGGACGGAAGAGAAAGAAACGGATAACGCGAAAGATATATTTGAGTACATGGACGCATTTTATAAGGAATTGAATCAACCAAAAAAAGTTTCGGAATCGGTAATAGTAAATTATGATGAAAATTCAGTTGAGAGTGATGAAGGAAAAATAATTCAGGATATTAGCAATTCAAAACCTGAATCATTCAGTCAAACTGACCATTCTAATCAGTTTGAAGAACCAGAAAATGTAATACCAATAATAGACAGCCTTCTAAATAAAGGTCAAAATCAGCTAGAGTTCATATTAGTAAACCATTCAGCCCAAAAACCAAAATTAACCAAACCATTTCCAAACAAATTTAGACTCACAATTGAGATTGGCAAAGATAAATTCGAGACGGAAATAATAAGTTTCATACAAGAATACATTGTGCCACAGGTTACATACTACATCCATTTTAAACCGCCGGAAATGTATTATCAATTTTCAGAAATAATTAGGAAAACTTTCCGTTGGCCTAGCCTTAAATTCCTTTGCGTTAGGAACAAACTTATAGATGTTCCTGAAAATGAAGTTTCGGAAGTAATACAGAGATATCATGAAAGTAAAACTAATCATAGAGGCATAAATGAGACAGAGAGCCGAATTAGGCAAATTTATTATTGGCCCGGGATGAGAAATTCAGTTCAAACATATATAAATTCATGTGACATTTGTCAGAGAACCAAATACGAAAGGGTACCAATAAAAACAGGAATAAGTATTACACCAACTCCTACAAAGCCCTTTGAAATAATACACTTAGATACTCTAAAAATTCAGAAGGAAATATTTCTTACGATCATTGACAGTTTTTCCAAATTTGCTCAAATATACAAATTGCCAAGTTTAAATTCATTAGACATAGTTTCAAAATTAATTCAATTCTTTTCATGTTACGGAGTACCGAAAAGAATCATAACCGATAACGGTACGGAGTTTAAAAACACTAATTTGAAAAATCTTTTAGCCCTACACAAAATTGAAATTCATTTCACCACTCCTGAAAATCCAAAATCCAATGGAATGATTGAACGATTACATAGCACTCTCTTAGAACATATCAGATTACTAAAAGAACAATTTCGAGATTCAATTGAAAACCAAACTTTGTACGCAATTCTTGCTTATAACAATACCATTCATTCAGCAACCAAACAAAGACCTATTGACATAGTTACAGGACACTTAAATTTGGAAGACCCGTTTGATATTGACTGTAACATTTCATTAATGAGCAATTACGTTCAAAATCATAAAGACAAGGTTAAACTACTATATCAGAAAATCAATGAAAAGCTGCAAAATCAAAAGGAGCAAGTTGCTAAAAAATATAACGAAAACATTAATCAACCAATATTACATGAAAACGAGACATTCTATCCAAAAGAGTTACAGAGAATCACAAAGGTACAAAATAAATTTAGAAGAAAAGAACAAATCGATACAATAGATCCGTCAAAGAATCTAGTAAAAACAACGAAGCGTGCTTACCATATTAGAAATATTAAAAAACCAGTCAAAATAATACAGGACGTTCTCCTACAGGTTCGCCCTCCTTCTGGCACTGATCACCCTAGCACCAGCGCAGATAGAAATTAAAAATTTGCAATCCAATCCTGGATTGTTACCAATTCATTTCGGCCCGGCAAAAATACAAAAATATCACCATACGATTATACATTATTACAATGTATCGTTGATAATCAATTATTTCGAAGAGCTAAATACTAGAGTCAATCAGATATTGGAGACCATTAGCAGGAATCCGCATTACGAATCAAGCTTGGGTAATTACGTAAAAATCATTGCAAATATACAAAATACTATTTCCGAAGAAATAAATGAAATAATTCCAAACAAAAGAACTAAACGAGGTCTAATTAATGCTTTGGGCTCAGTCATAAAAACAATATCAGGCAACCTTGACAATGAAGATGGCAGAAAGTACGAGGAAATGATTAAAAATCTAGAATCAAATCAAAAAGTAATTAATAGTCAAATTCAGGATCAATACACACTATCAACAGAAATTATAGATAAATTTAATAAGACAATTGCAACGATAAGTAGAAACGAAGTTTCGCTGGAATTACACTTGCAAAGAGCTGAAACACATCTAAAGAATCAAATTGAAAAATCGGAAATTCATGACGTCACAGATACGTTAAATCAGCTACATCTGATGTACCAAACAATTGAGCACATGCTGAGTAATTTGGTCACCGCCCTAACTTTTTCAAAATTAAGACTCATGCACCCAAGTATCATTTCAACAAATGAGTTGTATACCTCATTGCAAAATTTAGAATCGAGAGGCAATCTTAATCAGTTACCATTTGAAGTTTCACACGAAAACGTAATCAATTATTCCAAATTAATAACGTTAAAATCATATATTGTCGACACTAGAATAGTGTTCATTCTAGAAGTACCAATGTTCCACGAAACATCATTCGACCTATATAAATTGTATCCCATCCCAATTTGGCTACAAGACAATACCTTCCGAGTAATTCTTCCACAAGCCAGATATTTATTACTTGCCGGAAATCTGGTAGCTCACGAATCTGAAGATTGTCAGCTTCTGAACGGAACGTACTTTTGCAAACCAACGATTGTACAGAACGTGCAAAAGGACAATTGTGAAACAAACATAATAACGAAACAAAATCTATCAAAATGTGTGCAACACGAAATTGAAATCGTGGAACCACAAATTCAGGAAATAGAAGACACGGCATATTGGGTATTATTTGCTCCATATGCCACCGAACTAAAGATAAATTGTCCGAAGAAGAGGGAACTTCAATCTGTCCGGGGGACATTCCTTCTTCGACCTTCAGCCACCTGCCAGTTCGAGTTTAACGAAGAAACAATCCAGCCGATCATTACAGAGGGCAATAGCCAGCCCTTGTTCATTGCATTCAACAAGGACAACCTCGATACTATCAACCAGGCGGACTGGGAAACCGTAAATATTGAACCAATAAATATTAATGAAATTAATGATTTAAAGGCAAGAGCAAAATGGTCCCAGATCAATCCATTCCGATCAAAAACCAAAGCTCACGATTATACCCAGTATACGCTAATCATATTGCTCGGTATAATCATCACCATTGTCATCGGACACCCCTACTTCCGACGATGGCTCAACAACAGACGGAAAAAATCCTGCCCCGAAGACATCGAACTCCAAGAAGTCCAACTTCCTCGGTTCCACCTCGGAGTTGACTCTGTGAAGGGAGGAGTTATATGAACAGAACCCGATGACCAAACAAGAATCATTAGTTAAGACGCAATCATGATATTTATTTCAAGCGCAGTAATTATTTATTTCAAACGTAATTATCAATTTCTAGAATTCATTGTCTCAAAGTCACCTAATTGCGCATTTCCTGTTTCGTTGCGCATCTTCTCTTCATATTTATTTAAAACGCATATTAGAGCCATATAAATAGAGCGCAGACCTAGACCTAAGCGATTATTGTATCATCCAAGTTCGTTGAATAAACAAGTGAAAGTTAACAAGTTCTTCTGAATCGATCATCAAGAACCCACTTAACAAATCCTAAGAAAACCAACAAAAGTGAATCAAAGTCTAAACCCAATTCTAATCCGCGATCGCGATTCGAACCAATAAATAAATAAATTATATTTAACAACTCGTGAGTCGATAACGAAATCGTTAATATAAAACCGCTCGACACAAACGGGGAATATAATTTATAACTCGATTTTACAATTTTTGTGGCGGTCTCGCCGCCTCGGTCACGCCGCCACCGGCCACCAGCACAAGCAAGCCGACTGAAGCGCCAGCCAACGCAGCGACCAAATCCCGCAAACAAACAAACACTCGCACACACTGACACACATACAATCACTCATACAAATAAACCTCTCTCTCTCTCGGGGACGCCACAGCTCTGGCGGCATATTATTATCATTACAAGTTAGCTACGCATAAGAGACACAAGTCGAGTCTGTACTTTCCTAACGCAAGTTCCATTACTATTGATTTGTTATAAGCGAATAAACAATCTAATCTCACTTATTTATTGCAAGGAGTGAATTATTGTAGTTTAGAACCCCAAACAACTACATTTTAGTACATCCTAGTGCCATCTATGAATGCTACAGATAGTAGTCCCGGAATTTAAATTAATAAAATTAATAAAAAAATAAAATTCAAATCATGAAATTATTATTTCTTATGCTAAAAGATTGACCGATTTTACATCAAATATTTTAGTGATATTTAATTTGATCATGTATTGCTATACTATTTAGGTTTATATTATTATTTAATGAACAATTCCAACTGAATTCTAAAGACAATTTATACTAAAAAACAACGGAAAGTTTTCTGCTGAAAAGTATTATATCATTTGACCAAATTACGGGTAAACTATGAGTCCAACAGTAAAATATTACTAAAATAAAATGATGAGGAGAACGGTTTATAGCAACATTAAAAAAAACAAAAAATTATCAAATTTTATTTTTCTGTGAAAATGTGAGTTCACATTTGACCAAATTGCGGGAAAACTATGAGTCCAAGAGTAAAATTTGATTTAAATAAAATGTTCAGGAGCACTTCTTACTAGAACATTCAAAATAAAAACTTCAAATTTCCATATTTAGTTTTTCTGTGGAAAATGTAAGATTACATTTAATCAAATTTCGGGAAAACTATGAGTTCAAGCATAAAATTTTACTGAAATGAAGTACTCAAGAGGAGTTCCTATAGCAACATCCAAAATAAAAACTTTAAATTTACACATTTAAATTTGCTGTGGAAAATGTGACCTCACATTTGATCAAATTGCAGGAAAGCTATGGGTCCAAAAGTAAAATTTAATTAAAATAAAATGCTCAGGGAGACCTCCTATAACAACTTCCGAAATAAAATTTACAAATTTAATTTTTCTGTGGAAAATGTAAGTTTTAGTTTTAGTTAAATTACGGGAAAACTATAGGTCCTAGTGTAAAATATTACTAATATATAACGATCAGGAGCACGTCTTACAGGAACATACAAAATAAGAAAATTTAATTTTTCTGTGGAAAATGTGTGTTTACATTTTATCAAATTGCGGGGAAAACTATTAGTTCAAGAGTAAAATTTTACTAAAATAAAATGCTCAGGAGGACTTTTTATGGCAACATTCAGAATGAAAACTTCAAATTTTCAAATTTAATTTTTCTCCGGAAAACGTAAGTTGACATTTAGTCAAATTACGGAAAAGCTATGAGTCCTAGAGTAAAATTTTACAATGATAAAGTGCTTGACCGTAATTTTCGCAAATAGAAGTTTTTCTCTAATTGCAGAATAACTGTAAAATCGAAAAATAGATAGATAATATGAACGATGAAAAATTTCACTCACCAGTGTATCGAACACGGTAAATCAAATGCGAGTAGATACTGAAATAAACAAGAAACAAAACATTAGTTATACAATTTCGGACAATGTTGAAATGAATCCGAGTTCCGCAGGAACCCAAACTTTGCCTTAAAAATGGTCTTATTTGCCATAATTATTTAAATAATAATATTTACCAGGTAGAACAGCCGCCCGTCGTGTTCTGCTGAAGACAAAAATGGTTCGCACAACTCCAAAATATTATTTACAATCACACAACATGGCCGACTGGCGTCCGACGGCAAGCGATCCCAGATACACGCGAAACTGTATTAAACACAGAAAACATTGAATTCCGAAGATTATACACGCGATAAATATTTAGCGACTAATACCCGTCTATTAACACTAAATTCCAGCAAATATAACGCGATATAACGAATTTACAACACGAAACACGAATATCCTTTTAAGTATTAGTACTTATCGCACGAAGTAAGAGTTGCGTGCCGGCCACACAACAACTGGGCACGCCGACTCGCAGGAATATTTTTAACGAAAACATGCATTATTGCGCCATCTGAGGTTACTTTTGAGTATGAGGCAGTGAGTGATTTGCTATGTGTCAGTGTATGGTCACGCAATTAAATGGCAGTGGCCGTGTGTCATACGTACACGCAACTGCGCACGCACCACCCTATCTAAACCAATAGCAATTTTTACACATAACTCAAAGCTTCAAATGTAGATGTCGCTAGAATGTATTAATTCAAAATAAATGAAGTAAATTTTGCAATTTTAACGCAAATATTCAACAATTTAGCAATAAATAAACATAGTACACTGCCTAAATCGTGGCATAAATAGTCAGTGAAAGTATTTGTCATAAAAGCACATATTTTCTCTAAAATTGCATCAAATCTCTTCAAAAACTACAAAAAAGCATAAAAACATTCAAATTTGACTTCTTTAGTAATTTACTCTTGACATTAAAAACCTATATCATTTTAGTTAGTACCTTTATACAGTGCCCAAAATGAAGTCACTTCTACCGCTACCTTCATACGGTGCCCTAAACACGAGTCACTTCTACCGCTAACAAATACCACCCGACGGAGAATTTAATTCGCGTCTTTCGAGGCTGAACTGAAGTTACTCAGCCGTCAAGATCGCGTACAAACCCGTAAAAATACAAATATTTCACGAATAAAGGTGACAAAGCGATAAATCACCTTTTTATGCAAATTTTCGAATTCCTGCAACAGACAAGTATAATCCGACGGAGAATTTAATTCTACATCTCTACATGCCCCGCTAAAGTTTGTGCGGCGCCCCGTTCGTGCGAAATGATTAATAAGATATATGTATTACGAACACAAGTGTATAAAAGAAACAAGTAATAATACCTTACCAGTATTATTATATTTGTGTGCTCTTTTTCTCTCGTAGGCTAAACCATATAAGCGAATATGTTTGTTTCCTTTTAGTGTCGTTTAGTGTTCTCTAAAGGAGTTTTCACTTCAAAAAGTATCCTAGTAATCTTCTCCAAACAAACACACACACATACACACGTCTATGCTACGAATCATCGCACAAAGAGGAGACGGGGATAATAGAAAACTTTGAATTTGTGTTCTCTTATTCTCCCGCAAGATAATCCATATACGCAAATATGTTTGTCTCTTTTTAGTGTCGTTTAGTGCCCTTTTAGAAAAGTTTTCACTTCAAAAAGTATCCTATTACCTTCTCCTGGCCCTAAGCTACCTCTTCACCAATTTTTAGCTGAATTGTATCAGCTTTATTTATAAAGGAGTTAACCAACACGACTTTCTTTTATATATATATAGATTTGATATGCAAAAACTTTTATCAGTGTCTGTTGGAGGCTTGATGATAAAAGATTTTAATTCGCCCAAACAATTGTTTTTGCTTTTCTTCATTCCTAAAATAATACTATTATTTAAAAATCACTTTGCACATACAGTGGAGAATTATTTCTCTTTAATATAGTATACATAGCAATGCTGTGCATTAGGTATTTTCTTAGATATTTCAGTTTAATCAAAAACAGACATATGCATTTTATTGAAAACTCCCCAATAAATACTGCACTAGATCATAGCTAGATGCAAATTTCAAACTTTAGTTTTGTGTGGTTTCTGAGATTAACACCTTCCCGTTTTTGCCACCGAAAACTTTTCTTAAATGTTTTAATTAATAAAACAATCACTACTAAAATTTGATAAGTTCGGAAACACCTATAAATAGTATGTTTCTCCAAATTGCCACATAAACCACATTTGTTTGAGTCCTCCAATTAAAGATTGTGATGTAAAGATGTCAGCTCACCTATATAAATAAAATCAATTGGCAATTAAAGAGTTCTTCAGCAACTAGAAATATAATACTCATAATGATTAAGATTAACAAGGTTTTTTTAATTATTACAACTCATAAATATTTACAGAATGATACTATAATTTTACATTCTCTGTTTCTGCCTTGCTTCTATTTGCTTGCAATCATTACTGTTGAACGATCCACACAATCTGCAAACTCTTGTACCTCTTTAGCACACCTCATTGGTTCATTCTTGTACTTCTTATAACAAGCAATAATTTTTGCTCTGTCAGCACCACATGGAATAGAAGTGAGTTGCTTGAGACTATCCTCAGCATTTTTCTTGCCAGAGACTTCATTCATTGCCTTCTCATATTCAGTTTCCATCACCTTCTTAATCTCTTCATGATTCTTTTGCAAATTTTTCACTCGTTTTTCCCAGTAATCATCATTGTCTTTCAAATTCTTCAAATTATCCTGTCGAAGTTGAATTGATGTTAAACTAGGCTCATATAAAAATGCTGGTGCCATTTGAGGAACCTCTGTAGGAGAAGATTGCTGGTGGCTTACCGTTGGGGCTAAAATCCCGCAGATCATCGTCAGAAATACATATAAACATCAACCAAAACTTCATTATATAACTCCAACAGAAAAGCTTGTAAATAAATGGATACTAATAAATCCAGGTTATGTAAAAACTTTACCTTGATGCCCCCTTATACGCTGGACGCATTCTTCAGAGACCTTTATAACACTCGTCGGATTATCGTTGTCGATCGTAATTTTTCTTGTTCTACTAGCCGACCCACCCATATTCAAAGATTATTCGGAATTACAAATATCTAATAAGGTTAGCAAAATCTTCCTACAATTTCGATTCCTAAAATGTCAATTTTGGAAGGCTGCCAGGCGGGTTGCAGATAGTTCTACTAGTCGCCGCACTCTGTGAGAACATTGTCGAAACACTAGATTTGTAAATTAGACTTACTACTGCTCACTAGGTTGCTCAAAGCAAACAACATTAATTTCAAATTTTACTAAATGTTTTAATCAAAGGATTGTGTGTGTCTGTACTTTCTAAATTTTAAATTCTTTTTAATGCTATACAATTTAAATATGAATAATCCAGATATTATAAGTTGTATATCAAAGTTTAGAATCACTACACTCTTTGACATCTGTTTGATTGGAAAACCAGTACATATGTATTTGAATTTAAATGGCCAGACGTTGAGGCCTGTGAATCCGTTACTTGTAACCTAATGTACATACTTTTCAAAATAAGTGTGTTGTTGAATACAATAGTGCTTACGAAACTAGCAATATCAAAGCCAATTTTTATTTGGAATGTGTTAAACAACGATGTACAAGATATTTAAGCCGATTTAGTCTTTTATTCGTGATCTAACCTAGTACGTTTTTTAAGAAGTTGACAAAAAAGTGCCCGGCTCAAATATGATGAAATACAGTGCATTGAAAGGTTTCTACGAGTTAGAAAGGACGATAGGTTGTGGCGGATTTGCCAAAGTGAAGATGGGCACTCATATTGCCACTGGAGAGAAAGTGGCAATAAAAATAATGGAAAAGGCATCTCTGAAAGATGACTTACCTCGAGTCAAACTGGAATTGAAGGCTTTAAAGACACTATCACATAAACACATATGTAAATTATATCAGGTATTTAACTTCAGAATTTCTTCCATTTATTGGAACTGCTAATTGTTTTATTACAGGTTATTGAAACAGAAACTCATTATTTCATTGTAATTGAATATTGCTCTGGTGGTGAATTGTTTGACCATATAGTAGAGAAGAGCAAGTTATCAGAGAATGAAAGTCGTATATTTTTCAGACAAATATTGTCTGCAGTGGCATATTTACATACTTTGGGATATGCACACAGAGATTTAAAACCAGTAGGTTCAAAATATAAAAGCCAAATGTGATAACAATTATTATAAATTCTTTGTTGATTTTAGGAGAATGTTTTACTTGATCACTCACAAAACTTGAAGCTGATAGATTTTGGTTTGTGTGCAAAACCAGTTGGAGGAATGGAGAGTCCACTTTTCACTTCTTGTGGATCTCCAACTTATGCTGCTCCTGAACTTGTTTTAGGAAAGCAATATTTGGGCACTGAGGTTGATGTTTGGGCAATGGGTGTATTACTCTATGCTTTGCTCGCAGGGTTTCTTCCTTTTGATGATCAAAACATTGATTCATTGTATAAGAAAATACTTGTAAATTACATTAATATATAATATCGTAATAAATTTTAATTAATATTTATATTGTAGGTTGGAAGGTATGAAGAACCATCATTTATGTCTTCATCAAGTAGAAAACTAATAAAACAGATGTTACAAGTGGACCCAAAGAAACGATTAGCAGTAACTGATTTGTTATCTCATCCTTGGGTAAAGCAGGGGAGTAATTCTGACGTCAAAATCATGTCTGATAATGACAAAATCGCAGATGATGATATTATCAGCCTAATGGCCCAATATCATGGTATTACCAATGAAGACATGTGGAAGCATATAAGCAAATGGCGTTATGATTATAATACCTCTACGTACATGTTATTAGTTGCTCGCAAGAAGCGCGGATTGCCTCTGAAACTTATGCCTGGTGCGATAAAACTTCCAGTTCGGATTAAATCGGTAAGATATTCATTGTTATTACATTTAAATTAAGGTTTTAAACTGGTTTTTATATGCCCAGGCTGAGACAATAAGCACAACACCTTCAAATATCAAACAACTAAGTGCACGTTCCAACGGAACATTGAAGGCATTAAATGGTGTGTCAACTCCAACATCCACCCGGGTGATGGAGCGCAAATATTTGACACCTCAGACGCCTAAAATAGTCATAATCAATCGCAACACGCCGAAGAAGCAGGATGAGAACGTGGAAGTTCTCACGCCGGAAGCGACCTCAATGAGTCCTGATAACTTTCTGGAGCCGCGTAAGCCGTCTAGCATCCGCAAACCAATGAAACGTATTCGTTCGCCGACATTTGAAGCAGATTCCAGTCCTGGTAAGTTTTGTGAGGAAGTTGTATCAGATGCATGCTGTATATAAATCACATTTAAATTAATATCATTTGTGACAATATTATATGAATGTACTAAGCAAGCAATTAATTTATTTCGTTCATTAAAAGTTAGTTACTTGCAGTAGACTTTTGTAATTGTCTGCTGGTTACACAAAGTTGGGCTTCTATTTGCTGCATGTCCTTCGGCGTTGATTTACGCCCAAATCTTTGCCCGCTAGTTTGCCGCTTTTTCACTGCCCGCAATAAAATAGCGCGAGTCGCTCGTAATTTCAAAGTCGCAAAACTTGCAAAGTTTCAATAGGTGTGTATAGTATATCAAAGTGTCCTCCTGCTGCGAAGAATGTCCACCCTGCAACAACACGCCGAAAATTATCTCTTAACAAAACACTAAGAAGCGTCCGGGCCCGAGACTTAAGTTCAAGGATTGTTGCTTCCATCTTTATGGAGCCAAAACTCTTAAATTAGTTCAACTTTACACAAGTGTCTCTAAACAGTAATAAGAAGGTGGAGAATCGCGCCCCGGGGAGATGTAGTTCACTCTGATCTATCGCCCTTTTAACTTTGTTATATTATTCTCGATTCGGACGAAAGTACGTAGGGGTGACGCAGCTACCCCTGTCGTGCCTTTCGCACGATGAAATGCGAGCGTTTAGTAGCACGACTCACACGCCGGTGTTGTAACCCTATTAAAAGTGGCCCGATTCCCATTTATTCTAACAGGTTCATCTTTATGAGCGCTCCATGCTTTTGAGTAACATAACAGCGAGTCGCTGATCGGGGTGTGCGAGAACGCGAAGGGTATACGCACCAAATCACTTTCAATTACCCATAACACATTACGATTTTCGGTGATACGAAAACGATTTGATAGGGATCATTTTTACGGAAAACTAATATATTACTTTAAAGTTTTCTGTGTTCTATTAAAGACGTAAACTTAGTTCAAGTAGAATTAACCTTAGCAAATTTTATTCTAACTGGGACACTTTTTTTAAATGCTTTATTTCCTTACAAAAATATTTAGCATTTTTGTTGCTTATTCCTTCACCAATAATTCGACAAAATGCATACTTGCTTTGCGACAAAAATTTTAATTGAAACAAAAAATATGTAATAGCAATTTTCAAATGTGTTGCTTTTCTTCAGCTGGTTGATGCTTTTCACTGTTTAAATTAATTAATATATGAAGAATCTCTAGACATACATTTCGGACTACTTAAAAAAGAAGGTGTTCAGTTCTTGCGTTCGTTCAGGATGCAAAATCCAGTTTTATTAAAATAGACATGCTCCGAGAAGAATGACTCATCGATAACGATTCGTCAATCTAATTAATTTTTTCCGCCACAATAGCAGGTGTGACGAATTTAAGTGGCTTTGTTTTACGGTGTTCGTAGTTGCTTTGAAAATTAATTTAATACAAATCGGACACACCTCGACCCGATCACATTGGCAAAACATACACTATATTATACCCACAATAATGTCGCCTTTTTTCTGCTTTGATTGTTGCAGTGCCGACGAAGAAAACGCCAGGTCGCTCGACCCCCAGGACGCCCGAGCGGTAAGTTTCAATTAGTTTATAGCGGCGTATTTTGCTGTGTGTACATCGGCGGATGTCGCCGATATCGCCTCCAAAGTTCGGCGCATGCACACAAATGTGCGCACCTACGACGGGATAGGTAAACCGAACTTTATGGTAATTTCGGGACGCCGCCCGGATAAATGAGTACTGGTTGACCGAACCGAACGCTCTCCCATTTTAACCCTTTTAGTTTACTATCGGTCAGCGCTCGTATACTCTACGAGTTTATTGCTTTTATTAGCGAAACCCTAATCGGATTCGACCGCATGTCCCACGTTGCCCGTCGCTGCCATAAATTGGGGTTAATTAAATTTAAACAATAGTGCTTCATAGGTGTTTTGTTGTAAATTATTCTCGTCGAGGCATTTTTGTTTCGTATTTAATTGAGTTACCGCTGAGATAATTATTTATTTGTTAATTTTGGTTTTCGTTTAAACAAAATCTACTTTTATCTTTATATTGTGTTTGAATATTAAATTTACTGGTAAAATTGGATATTATAGAAAACGAACGCCAGGTGCGAGTGAAACTTCTTCAGCTCGCAAAGTGCTGGGCAGCATTGAAAGGTCTCTCAATAAAGTACGTCATGTTTTGACACCGCGAAAATCTCCGCAGCAAAATCCTCTTCGACCTGTAATACTCAACAACAAGGTATTTATTTTTATATCTTTATCAACACGAGCCCACGACAATTATAACTTATTTTCTTGCTACGATGTTATTAGGTCAAAAATGTTTTAATTAAAATGTTTTTTTAATTCTGTTACCAGGATCTCTGCAATGTATCTACAACGCAGTGTACAGATCCAGAATATGTTGTCTCCGAATTAGCAAAAGAATTACAGAAAAAAGGAATTCAATGCGTGCGAAAAGGGTAAGTTCAAATTTTTCTATAAAATTTCATGTTATTTCTTGAAAATGCGAATATGTACATTGGTTTTGCAAAGATATCGTGTTTTTTTTTGCAATGGTTTGCCTGCCACCAACCATAATTTACGATTTCGAATAGTCGATATTTCAACAGACTATTAGCGTATGGTATACACCATACCTGGCGAAGCCCAATGGACGAAATGAGCAACCTTAAGAAGAGCTATAACTCATTTGCTAATCAGACATAGTTATTATACGTGTAATTACTCACGACCATTTAAATGAGACGTTTGCGAACGCGCTTTGCTTTGCTCCGCTTTTTCGACAAACAACGTGAACAACCCGACGCGATTCTCATAAGCCCGCGGACAATAACAAACGTTTCAATTTCAGCTTGGCATGTACTACACTTGAAAAATTAACACATTTCAAATGGATAGGGATATAAATCAATGAACGGTAAACACTTTTTTGTCAATGTCTAGAGCCACAAAAGTAACGCATTCGACAAATCTTTAAAATTAACATTGTTGTAATTCGGACAACAATGCGGCGCGTTTATTTTTTCGGATAATCACGTCGCGTTGCGGATTAAAGTTTCCGGTCAGGGCGTGTAGGAGTGAAAAGTGCAGCCGGTTTTGCGGTTGCGTTCTCATGAATGAAACACGCAGGATGGTCGTCGCTGGGAATACCGTTTGGTTGTAATTTCACAGTTAATTTTTCATCCTTCGTTCTAAGTGGACCCATATTACAATCGCCAACGCTTTGATTTTTTATAGTCAAATAAAACGATGCGCCCAATGTACCGCGGATCCAACCAAAATTGAAGATAGCTCTACGTGTCGATTGTTATTGCATTCGCAGGTTCACAGTGCGCGGCAAAATGGAGCCGAACGCGTTAGGGCGGTTTGTCGGAGGCTGCTCGTTTGAGTTGGAAATATGTTATTTGCCGATGATGGGCGCGACGCCCAGTCGGAAGGGTAGCACACCGACGAAAACCGCAAGCGATAATTACGCTAAGGATGAAAATGGTGATGGCACACCGAGTCGCATACCAATTCTGAAGAGGACCGAAGCTGCCAACACGGGTGAATTCGTCGTTCAGAAGCTGCCGAACCGGGTGGGCATTCGTCGCAAGCGCCTCAAGGGGGACTCGTGGTGCTACAAGAAGGTTTGCGAACAGGTGCTCGCGCTTACCGCTACGGAATTGAAACAAACTGCCGTTTAGATGGGCCGTTTTGATTGTTTGTTATAGGCGATGTTCTCGATAAGTTTATTGCCGCTACCTACCGCCGAATCAATTATTGTGCGTTCTATTTAGTTTGCTATTCTCATAAAATTTTATTTTTATTGTATTGTTTTAGAATAAGTTATAATTTAATGCTTATTAAATCATTGCTCTCATTTATTATCAAGTAATAATTGTATTTAATTTTGCTTCTGCTTTTTTGCTTTGTTTTGAAAGAACTGAAACATTTAATTTTGTATATGCACATGAAAAATTAAATATTCTGAATTTCATTAAACGATCGAAAAGCTTTTATCCCTTTAGTGAATCAATTAATTTATTATGCAACGGAATGTCTGTTAGGTCAGTTACTGCTTTGGAGGGAAGAATTCACTTTCCCTCCAACTCTTCATAGGACGTAGACGATTGAATTGAACCTGTCCGATGGGTTGTTCGTTAGGAAAGGTCGGTCGTTAACACACGCGATTGTGCCACGTTCCGACCGACGCTAGACTCACTGGTAATCCACCTGTTTCTAACTGGAGCAATGGCCTACCGGTCTGCTGGTTTTAAGGGTTGTGCAAGTGTGCGCGCTATTAGTACCTCACTGCGCACTGTTTATAGGCGCTTGGTTTGTGTGTGCGTGTATGTATGTGGTGCATTCAACCCCGCGCGATCATCCATATGCCCTTTAAAAAACCAACGGTCTCGATTGATTAAGTCTCGTCAGGTGTCTACAGGTGGAGTGCAGCCAACCCCGCGCGCATAAAACGATCGTTCGTGCGACACGTGTCTATAATTAGAATGCACGACAGAGGCGTAGCGAGCGTCACGTGGCGGGAGATCTTATGATTATGATTGACTCCTGCGAATATTTGTTCCTATTACAATCATAATTATCTTTATATTACGCTAGGATTCTATTACTATGCTACTTTTATAAAAATGTAGTTTCGGAATTTTAAAAATTCATTTTCATACATTTTGATTTACCTAATATATTTACATTCCCAAGAGTTTAGAAATTTTGCAAAATGTCTGACGCATAAACAATATACAACCTCCAGATTGCATAGATTTTGGGCGGTTTTTACTGTTCATCTGGTATTTTACTTTTAGTTTTTGGTTGTGCGAAAAAAAATCACATTTTTATGTATAAGAAGATAATGCTCGTAAAGAGGAAAAAGAAAATGTGTACAAGGAAATTATTATTAAAAATTAATGATTTGCGAAGGAATGGAAAAAAGTTTATGATTAGTAACGTAACAAATTATGTAACAATTTCTTGATATTGCAGTATTTGTAGCCTGGTTGGTGAAAGTAATGCATTGTTTCGAAGCATGCAACAAAATCGAATTATAGAAGAATTGCATTAGTGTGACAAATGTCAATCGAAAAAAATGCGTCTATTTCACTACGTCGTCCACAAAATAGACTAATACAACTAACTCACGGCGACCCGACAGACACTGATTGAATGACAAAGTAAAATCGAACAAAAATATACCTACGTTGTACACTGATTTTATTATTAAACAATAGTTATATTTTAATAAAAGTTTTATTATAAAAGCGGTCAGGGCTAGTAAAATGAAAATAATTTCCTTCTGCTTGTTCTTTTTATTTATTGGAACAATTACTTTTCTTGTGGTTGTAAAAGGAGAAGATTTAGACTTTAAGAAAAGGCCCTCTATACAAGTTGTTGTGGCAGTGTACATGAAATATATTCTCGCTTGTTGGCTCATTGGTGGCCACAGAGAAAAACGAAATATAAAAGTTTAGCAATTAACGATGTCGTCGACAACGCAAACTTTCAAATTCGCCGCGCGGAGAAGGCATCATGCGGTGCCGCACAGCGACGAGAACCTTCGCGCACAAGTACTTCTTGCGGTTTTCGGAAATGAGGATTTTTCACGGTAGATGGATTTTTGGCACAACATCCAACCGGCTACCGTTTTACCAACAACCGACGTTGACAATTACGCAATTCGTCGACACCGCCGACCAGTGCGATAAATGACGCAGCGAGTTGTCAACTCAACCTCAAAAACTGCCGCAATTGCAACGCCGGGTAACAATTATAACGATTATCCAATTATTAACTAAAAAGCACAGCGATATCATACGCTTCCACAGTGAAGAAATTATTATATTGTGTTTTTGTGCTTTTGCTGAATGTTGTACGGTCGCAACAATTAAGGTCAATAATTACATTATCCATTAAATGTAGATATTCCAATTTCTAGGCAATGTTTAGTTTTAAAAAGTTTAAGTTGACCTTTTTTTAGTTTCTATTAAATTATTTGTTATATTACTGTTTTCGTGTACAATTATTATTTTTTCATCAAGGGCACCGATTAAGGTCCGAAAAAGATTAACAAAAGTTGTGTTTTGAAGAATTTTGAAGACAAAAGCTAACAAATTTGATAAAAATTGATCATTATTGATGTAATACAAGTATAGAATTTTCATAAAAATATTAATATACACTTATAATAGAAATCCTATAATTACAACGACAGGTTGAAGGCAAAATGCCAACCGTCCCTTAATTTTTCTGATATCAAACGTTAGACGGTTTTTTAAATAGTATCGTACTATATAATAAAAGAAAAAAATAACAGGAAGAGATCTAATAGATAAATGCGGTGTGGCGCGGAACAGCACGTTTTCCGTTTCTTTTTTCGTTCCTTTTTAAAACCTAGATAATAACATGTGGATTACGGTTAGACTCAAGAAGAACCACCGGACGACGTAGTTCGAATTAAAACACGAATAACACGAAGAAAGTGAGTGTGTAAAACATTCGGCGGGAAAAACATTATCAGCTGGTGGTGCGTTAAAAGTCCGTTTGTCGACAGTCGTAACCGACCTTCCTTATGTCGCTTAAAGGCATGCCTTCCATCGTCGTGCACTTGCATTACTCCCATCGGTTTTACCATAAGAAAAGCAACATGCGACCGTATAAAACAAAAGAAGACGCACTCAACTTATATTCGCACTTGCAATAGTAGGCATGTGCTAGGAGTTAATTTTAAAAGTTGCTTATAACGGATGGTATGTGTGGCATGAGGTATGAACAATTTAATAGTTTTACTTCCTTGTTTCGAAATTAGTGAGGAAAAGAAAACACGTGGAAACAAGGAAATGTTAAAAAGTGCACTTCTATTACGGCACAACTGTTATATAGATAAACGAAGTTATTGTTTGAAATTGCTAACTAAAATGCATTTCTGTTTCTAACCGTTAAGCTTAGGAAAACATATTTGATTGCGAATGTCAGGAATAATTATGCAATTGCTTCTATTTATGACGAAAATTTTGAAATTGTAAGAGACAAATCCTTTTTCATTTGCCGCGTTGTAGTGATTATGATGTTAGGTTAGGATGTGAGGTTAGGTTATTAAAGTATAATGTACCTACATTCAATTTTTCTGAAATATTGGACCGTCAATTTGATCAGAACTCAGTTGTTATATGGTTATCAATACATTAGCTGCATATACTCATCTTAATCAATCGAAATATTAATTATACAATTGACGGTCTAATTTGTTTATAATTCAGAATAGACAATGCATAATCAAAACTTTGACAAAATGAAACAATAGTTTTCTATAATTCCGTTCGTGAGAAGATTTCAGCAAACACACTTTGAATCGAATAAATCTGTTGGAATAGCATTTTATTTCGTGAGTAATGACGCCGTGAAGGTAATAAACTAGAAATAATTGTAGGAGATAAGATAGAAAATAAAGAATGAAATCGGCGCGGCATTAGGGCGCACCGAGGGAAAAGAATGAACAGACGCCTGCTCCTTCGGCACGCATCTGATTTACATACGACGCATGATCTTTCTTCGTCGCGTTTGTTATTCCCGCGGATTCTATAGGTGCCGCGCAGCGATTCAAAGGCGAGGAGCGTGTGACGTTGAGAAAACGCGAATGTGTGCGCGCTTATGCGTTATGTGCGAACTGCGAACACAATATGGAACCGATGAAATGTAAAATGAACTCGGCGGCCATCGGCAGCCGAAAGCGGTTAAATGCGATAGATAGCGAACGCGAGCGTGGCGCGACGCATCGGTTATCTCAAAAGACGCAGATTTTATCGCGGCGCTTTTTAGTTGGGCAAATAAATATACCTCGGCGCTTCTACCGCGCGAAATGTGTGCGTTTAATGGATATTTATGAGGGAAAAATATTCGCGGACTTGAAGAGCATCGAAATATTCTAATTAGAATCCAATTATAATTTATATAGATACAATTAATAAATTATTACGACCAATTCTGTTGTTTTTTGCGCTCGTCCATCAACTCAATAAATATAATAATAAAAAACAAGGAGCAAAACAAGTAAAAAAGAAGAAGGTATTGGCCGGAGGCAACAAACTCAACGTCGCTCTCGAATTTGATTTCTTCGCGTTTGCCTTGCTTTGCGTGTGTGAGATATGAAGAGCGGTGCGAAGCAGTAAAGTACAATGAATTACATAGCCGGGCACGTGCCCTACCGGAAGCCGGCGGGTCACCGTTGGCTGATAGAGCGTGGATTCTCGCTTCCACTTCGGCGCAGAGCGCGCACTTTGCTTCGTTTACGGACGCGCATAATGTGTACGTCTACCTCACCCTGCGCTTCCTCCCCTCGCAGGAAATGAACTTATGATGATTAGTCTCGGAAATTATTACTAGGCCGCCCATTTTATATACTTGCCCATTTCTTTATGCCGCTCGCTTGAACTTAACAGCTACGAGGAAATTTATTATTAGACTATGTGAAACAGATTTTAGAGTGTTACACACTGTTAAGTGAAGAGTGAAGAAGTTGCTAACTAACACTTTCAAATGTCACTATCAGTTTATTAATATTATTTTTTAAATAATATTTATGCTGATGTATCAGTTGATGCGTTTGTGATTTTACTTTACAGACTTATTAATGGTAACTATCAGGTATCTCTATAGTTTCTATTTATTTAATTCTGTGATAAGCTGTTTGAGGAGAATTTTATTAATAAATTTATACAAACAGTTTTTAAATAATTGAAAATTTTAAATTCTTTAAGATTTTATGTCAAACGCTTCCTGTATTCTTGTTTCAACCTGTTTTAGTACTTTATTTTGTTTAACTTATTATATTTGAAAAAAAAGCCACTTTTATTCTTATACAAATTTTCCTAATTCTATATAAAGAATAAGTATGTATGAGAAAATTTCAAATAATTTGACTTCCTTAAATTTAAGGGTTGTACGTGAACCAAAAGTAGTTTCCGCAGCGTATTTTTTATAAACTTGCACTA